TACAAGGAGTGAGTTGAGATTCTGTTCTTTCATGAGATGAATCTCGTGATCTGTCACTCGACCGCCGTCTATCTCTTGATCGTTCATGTCCCCCACTAGCACCATGCAGACTCATTTTGGTGTGGTCAACAACTCCTTTAGCAAAACGTGAGGGAGTACTTGAATGTTTATAAAGTTTACGAGGTCTACTATGCAATTTCCGTTCCCAATTCTCTGGATCACTGGAGTTACTGTCATAAGGATGAGGCCGTCCTGCCATCCCACTTCAAGCTTCCTTACACTAGAGCTCTGAAAGCATACATGTAGCACCCATAACCTTAGTCCCCTTTGCGTGGCCCCTCGACTATTTTAATTTTTGTGGTATTCGGTTTCTGTTTATTTCTTTCATTTACGTTTAAGTATTTCATTAGTTAAAGGTTCTCTATCACAAAACGAGTTTTAATCTTTTGCAAGTGTAAATTCACATATATGCCTATGAAAATATATATAATGAAATAATTACTGTAAAGGAGTTTTCCTGAACAATACATTATTAGTTTTGCTAAAATGATACTAACAAAGATGGCCCTGTTTTAGAATATATATGTAGACATTTTCATGAAAAAATGAATGTATGTAAACAAACTTTTCAAAACTTGTTCATATATTTTTCTCAATTCCTATTTTCTTCCCTTTATTCACATATTTATAATTTATAACTATGGTTTTATCTAGGATATCAAATAATGTATTTTTGGTCCTCAAAATTGTTATACATTGAAAATAAAGTTCCAAGTTTATTATTTATTAAATGCCTAGATGCCAAAAGCCAGGATTAACGAGGAGTTAGATAGGGTAACATGACTTAGCATTTTGGCATTTCATTGCCTCGTTGTAAAGAGCTTTGTACAGATTACTTAAGCCTGCAAATATTAATTTCTCCATCTGCAAAATGAGGTCCTAATTTGCAGCATTGTTGAAAAAAATTAGTTATACATTTGTTTAGCCTATAATAAAGTACCAGGTACATATTAAGCCTTCCAGAAATAATACTGTTTAAAACATATAACATTTTGCATTTCGTGGTAAATGCTTTGTTATGTTTTCCTAAATTTTCTGAACCATGAAATGAAGCTACACAAAATGCAATAATTTCATTAAGTGAACAACATGACAGTATACTCTCTTTAGAAAAATTCTAATACTGCTGAGTAAATTTCAGTAAAGTTCTCAGAATCTGTGTTGTCATTTGATAGTTTGTCTCCCAGCTCTTTCCTCTTCTGTAGAAACATACAGTTTCATTAAAGATTTACTTGCATTTTTTTTTAACCTAAAAGGTAGTATATTTACTGTTGTTAGGCAGTATTTTTCATTGCTACAGACTGGAGATCTACCTATGTCCAACATTAGGAGACTATCCATATCCATTTATCAAACTGAAGCGTAGACAAGCCATAAGTTATGCCAAGTTTCCTCAATTTGTGGACATTTAGATTGATTTCAGGTTAATCATTATTAGAAAGTAGACTACAATGAGCATTTTTATACAAATATCTGGCAAATATGCAAGATTTCCCAAATGATGATCCTAACATAATTTCTAAGCCATACTTGTATATTCCTCTTAATACAACTATCACAAAATTCTCTCCCTAAATAGCTATATTTCCAAAATATCTATATAAAATTGTTCAGTCTATGTATGATTTCATCATTTTCCTGTTCACTATCAACATTGTTTAACTTTTAATTTTTGATAATCTAATGGAAAAAATATTAGTTAATGCTCATTTGTATTTATGCTTCTGTGAAATTCTTTTCAAATTCTTTTTATATTTTCTTTTAAAATAATAGTATTATTTTTATGTAAATTATTTGACTAGTATTTAAAAGTTGTTAAAATTGTTTAGGAGCCCTCCCTGGTGGCGCAGCAGATTAAAGCACAGCACTGAGAAGCTAAAGCCACTTCAGCATGAATTCCATCCTTGCCCCGGAGGTGATCCACATAGCGGGCAGACCCCTCCAGACCAGGCCGCTGCTCCCCTCAGCAGTGTATTTCATCAGTCTGCCTGTTCTACTCCCCACTCTTTCTCTGGTGAATCCTCTCACCCTCTTGTCTGTACCCCAACTCTGTATACATAAACAAATGAATCTTTAAAATATAATTGTTTATAGTCATTATTTTTTTCTCATGTGAAGTTTATAATTTTGATATGCTCAGATTTCTTATAATTCCCCCTATACCATTAGCTTTTCATGCCAACTTGAAAAAAAAAATCCTCTCTGGTCCAAAGCAGATACTCACTCTTTCATATTTCCCTTGTTCCTTTTTAAAATCATTTATGTATATTACATTGGGAATTATTTTTGTGGTAGTGTGCCATAGCATTTTGTCGAGTATGCTGAATACATTCTCAGCATCATTTTTTGAACATTCTTTCCTCTGATATGCAATGAATTAGAAGTTCTTATATCTACACAGAATTTCTTTTCTTTTTAACCTCATTCCTGACTTCTTTAGAGGCCAGTTATAGATTAAAATGTTCAGGAAATTACCTAAAATTTTATAAAAAGGCTTTATGATTTCAAATGTGTATTTATCTCTAAAAACCAAAGAGTAACCTTAACTTTTATTAGATCCTGAAGTTCACCATCTCTCTCTCTCCTATGACTCAACACACACACACACACACACACACACACACACACACACACACACGCAGTGCGTTTAAATGAAGGAGAAATGTGTGACGCTTTCATATGTAGAAATCACAAAGCATTAATGTGGAAGTACATTCTTTGCTGTGTAAGTAGTGAAATAGGTTTTATCATATGTAAATAAGTGCATTCCAATTAATGCACTTAAACTTTCCTCAAAGTTTTATAGTGTGCCGGATATCCATCTGGATAGAGTTTTGTTTCTTTTGAATCACTTGACTGAACAACTGATGTTTGCATCTACTTTTAGCACCATAGGGGCAAGTATGAGCTCTCAACAGTGGAAGAAAATCTGAATTAATCAAAAATTGGCATGTTCTCACCACTAAATTTTCAAGGGAGTTTTTTCTATATAGAGTGTTTGATAATATTGAAAACAGCATCTGTTACAGTTTTGCTTTGTTTGCTGCTTTGTTGAGATTGGACTGTTAGTTCTTGTCACAGTGTTGAGCTTATTGTTTTCTTAATTGAAAGGCCAACAGCTGGCTCTTTTGTGACATGTCTTTTCTTACATGCTATTAAAACATTCTCTGATTTAAAATGCAATGGTGTGAGATTATAAATACCTAAAATTATCTCATGTATATGTAACAGAAGGTACTTAGGAAAATAGAAGAAAGACATTAATTTTGAATAGCACCTACATATAAAGCACAAACATTATGTATAACTTCTTAATAAAGGATCATCTTTTCTAATTAAAATAATATATGCTTTTACTTGCATTATTCATTACTTGTATTATGCATTATTTATTGGTATTATTCAGTACAAAGTACCTATTGTATTTTCGGTGCTATAGAATTTATTTTCCCTGTAGAAGCTGTAGCTGGTTGTGGTCCGCTCTCAGAAATTGTGACTGTAAGGAGGAAGGGCAGAAATTAAAAATTACATTATGGGGTTAACTGTTGGCTTTGCATAATACTTATATCTGTCAAATTAAGCAACTATAGAAGGATGTTTTGGCTGTGTATTCATGACAGTTTAACTAAAAATTTCAACTGATTAGGCTATTTCCCATCTATTCATGTTACATATGTTAAGTCACTTGAATGGTTGCTCATATTCTATTTCGAAAGCTTCCAGGTTTAACTTGTGATTATACCTAAATTTCTTCATAATACCTACTGCAATGCTAAAAGAAGAAAAACTAAATAAATGTATGCAATGAAAGGGAGAAATTGCTACTTTTTTTTTAAGTGACAAAATAACCCATATAATTCCATGAAATAACTATTTGCAAGGGAATATTTCAGTAAAAAAATACTTTCAGAGTTTTTCCATTTATTCTGTATTATATAAAATTAAGCAAGTTGCTTACACATGAGAAACTTATTTGGATAATTATTTTCTATAATGATTTGTGATAGTTTGATCAGAATAAATGTCATCCCCTGCCAGCTTTTCTGCTTCTCCCTTTCTACATGTTCCCCACTCTTTCCCTTTTTTCTTTCTTATTTGTTGTATTGGTTAATATTATTTCATTTGTCAGGCATTGAAAATTTAAATAAAATAGTAAAGTAGATCATTTCTCATGAGTTATTATAGTCTATTCTAATGCAAGTCGTATTGTTACCTTTCAATGAGAAACAAACACAGCTACTCTGTTAATGCAATTTTAAATTTCAATTTTAATAATTGATAGCCACTGGCTGAAGATCCTGGGGAATATAGAAAGGGACACTATGTAAAATAATGATTATAGAAAATCATGAAATATTTATTTCTGGTTGGAAAATAACTCATGCAAGCTAATACTACTTTTACAATAACTAAGAGTATTTGAGTAATACACCAATGGTAAATTTTTAAAGTATCAAAGATACTTTAAAGGTCCCAAAGGTGGGAAAGATCTAATTTCATGTCAGGAGACACATTACCATCACATTCCCCTACCAGGCCCTTGTCTATGCAAAGCCTGAGCTGACTTGGGCCTTGAAAAAGGTTCACTGGTGGGGAAAAAAAAAAAAAAAAAAAAAGTAACTGGAAGTTTTGGGAGGTGTGTAGATACAGAAAAAAAAAAAAAGAAAACTTGAGAGGGCTCAAATATATTTGCTGAGTTTCAGGAACCTCAAGTAATTAATTGTTAAAATAAGACTACCACTTCTAAAAAATCAAAGTGAAAACACCCACACCCTTGTAGTGGTGAGGAAGACATGAGCCCAGCAGCTGCCCTGCCGCTGTGACTGCCAGGGGCTTGGGGTTCTCTTAACTAACAGGCTCCCTTAGCAGACAGGCAGAGGCAGTTGTCCACCCCACCCCTAACAACCCCCCCCCACACACACCACCACCACCGGCAGCCCTCATGTGACTACCAGTGCTTAACAAACCCTCCCTTTGGAGAGCATCTCCTTCTGCATGCTCTGTCTGTGCAAATGCCCTCAACTTTTTCCTTCCCTTCAATAATAAATTTACCCTTTGGGAACATTAAAGGAAAAAGGAAAGGAAATCCTTACCCTAACCAAGCCCACTGCTGCTTTCTCTGCAAGACATTTGGCAGCTTTTGAGGCTGGTTGCAGGTGTCAGTGAAGGGCTGAGCTGAGGGAGAGTCTTCTTTCTTTC